TAATATATAGGGGGAGGGGATAGGGAGGATATCTATATCTATATATATATAGTTGCTGGCATATAGAATTTAATAAAACATTTAATAAAACCTTCATTCATTTTCCCGCTCATTTTTTCAATTAATGTAGAACCGTCACATTTTACATTAATAAGGTGTAATAATAATTTTAATTTTAATATAATTTATTCACTACTAACACTAATTGATTACAACTTTACATTAAATAGTATGTGGAAGTTACATACTTATAAAAAATTGTATTGCAATTTTTTTCTTTAAAATACTTTTTCTAAAATAAAATATTTTTGTTCTTTTTAAGCGTTTTTTTATCTAATAAGTTAATTGGCATGAGTGTCATAATTAAACACCTTAAAATCACATAAACAAATGCTATAACAATGATAAAAAATAATTGTAATACTTTTCTAACTAATTAATTGTATGGTCTCTCTAAATTACTAAATTATATTAGCCATTAAAATTTATGGCATCAATATAAAGATTCATACGTAAATTAAATAAATTATATATACATTACACATTTGCATGTAGTCCAAATTTAAAACGTAATACATCAATTATTTAATATAAAATTTGTATATATTGTATACATAAATATAATATATAAATTTTTATTTTTCTTTGTGCATGTGCACAGGATGAATACTGGTGGATATTAGAAATGACGTCGTTTATAAAACGATGGCGGGCAAATTAGCACTAGGCTTGGAGATTTTTTTACTTGAATTAAGGTAGAATAAAAATTAATGGTCAAAAATTAAAATTGATATATATTAACTGTTCTGGAATTTATTTGCATATTATTGGCAAGCATGACTATATTTTCTTTTATTTTTTTTTATTTTGATTATTTTCTGTAATTAGATTCTTGCAAAATATATTTCCATTGTGGAGTATGCTAAATAGACTATAAATCTCTATAATGCAAATTAGAAAATTCTTGATTATAGAAGGGGTTGTATTTTTTGCATTTGTTAAATCAAAATTGTTTAATTAATATAAAAAATTAAATAAAAAAAAAAAAAACATGTGTGTATATATTGTATGGTCAATTGCCATATATAAAGTATTAGGTGCACCAATTCATGATTTCTGTTATGTTTTTCCTACAATTAGTGAAACAAAAGAAAAATGGAATGTAAATGTAATGAACAAAACTATTTGAGGTGCTGTGCTGCCTCCAATATCATTATCTAAGTATGCAATTAATTAAGTGTGGCAAAATTAGCTAAAAAGATAGAACAACTTTAAAATTTGAAAAACTACTGTACTTTAACTTTTTATTCCACATGATTGTAAATCATAATATCATGAAAAAAAAATCTCTTATATAGCTCTAAATAGAACTTTCATTAATACAATAGTTTTTTTTTTTTCCTAAAAAAAGTATATTATATTTTGATGATAATGCTCCCCTACCCACGGTGGTCATATGTCCACCGGTTACGTGGCATGCACACATTGGTAATGTTAATATGTTAAAAAATACATCACCAATGTGTACATGCCACATAAGCGATCAACCGTAGGTAGGTGAGCATTACTGTATATTTTGAAATCCTAACTATCAACATAGGGCTCTAACACTATCTGCTAATACTGTTGGACCAAAATTTTCAACAATGATGGCAGGAGAGCATAGACGAAGGTGATATATGAAGAACAAAACAATATATTTACGGTGGAAAAAAAAAATACTAGTTGGTTTTTTTTTTTTT